AGTTAAAAAAAACAAACAAACCAAAAATGTCTATCTCCAGCCTCTTTCCAGTCAGGATGTCCACGCAGGAGTGCTGCTCCCTCATTGCTGCAGCCACCTGGGGCAGCTTCCTTTACCCCCTAAAACTGGAACTCTTTGACCGGTCTCCATTCAGCTCACCCCCTCCTTTGAACTGAAGTTTCTATGCTGAGCGATTTCGTGGTTCTCCAGTTTAGAAATATTGCTCTATGCCCATTATTTGCTAGGATGGAAGGGGTATATGTTTGGGAGCTGGTTTGTTATGTGGGGAGTTATATATTGCAGAATGAAATGTTTATAGTGCCTGAAATCAAGGCAGATAAATAATGCAGTAGAATGGGGTAAGGGCCCTATTTTTTTTTAATTCATTTTATTTTGGGTAAGGACTTTAATAAAGGTGATCACGATCACGATCACGACCACCCTGTTGTTCGTCGATTGCCTCGAGCAGGTGCCAGTAACGTCTTCTTCGTCCTAGCCCTGAGATTTTTTTTTTTTTAAAGTGCCATATTCAAGGCTTTTTCAGGGTTAGGAGAATGAGACCCATCATTGTTACTGGTATTTGGCATATTGGGTATACCACGGGGAGTTTGCCAGACTCTGCCGTGTGGGCATGTTAAATAAAGGTGATACATCTGTAATATAATAGTGTGGATCTAAAGAAAAAGATGCAATTTTTCCTATTAGGACAAATCTAAGGGAGCCACAGGAAAGAAGTGATTATTTGGGGGGATTTGGTTTTGTTTCTGTTTTGTTGTTAACCTGTATATCAGGAATGGAGAATTGGTTGTATTAGATCCACAAAATCCTGGTGGTCTGGCATTGGAACATGAGGAAGCAAACATGAATGCTTCTTGTCTGCTGCCCACAGCCAGTAAGCCTGTATCTCAGGGCCTGCAGATGAAGATATAAAAACACAGATAACCCTTGGCAGGAAAAAGGTACCTTCCCCAGACTTTAAACAGACCGATGAGGGATTGTTCTGTACAGTGAATCACAGCTATTCATGAAGATCCTACATGGTAGATTTGGTAGGAAATAATAGTGCTTCCTGTCTAGCTCAAGTATGGAGGTAGGAGTAATCGCTAATCTGGGGTGGGGGTCTGTGCCGGGCTGGGTGGTAAAGTTTGTGTTTTCTGTGAAAAGTTGGGAAGTTAGAAATGTTGTAGTTGGGCAGGGAGGTATGGGCTGCAGCTGGTCGTGCTCAGTCTAATCCCAGTTCTGTGCCTGGGGGTCACTCCCCAGCTATGCTCAGGGGACCACTGCAGTGCCAGGCGTCAAACTCGGCTGGGCCTGCAGCTTGTGGAGCATATGCCCAGCCCATTCTGAGCCAACTTTCAGGCCCAGGGCTGTAGTTTAAGAAACTGTTCTGAAAGCAGTTTGGAATATGGGTTAAAGTAATTAGGATGAGATAAATTTTGGAGTAGTGACATGGTAGGAATGTTGGAGATTTTCTAAGTCCACAGTAGCAGCAACCCAGGCTACCGCTGAGAGTCTGGAGGAAGCCAGAAATGGAGCCAAAGGCTATGGAAGTCAAGAGAAAAGGAAAAGTCTTGAGAGGAGACGGGTTGATGTCGCTGCTGTGAAGAGAGTGGAGGGAATGTGGAATAAAAAACAGTGAGGTTTAACAGAAATGTTTACCTTGTCCTTGAAAGGAAGCTGTAATTTAGATACATACAGAACTGAATCAGATGGAACATTTGAGAATTTTTTGCTTCGATGTTTTAGTTCCTCATTTATTTACTTGACTAATTTCCTCTTGAGGCATAAATTTACTTCCCTGATTTAAAAAGTACCACAGATCATTTTAAAGTGGTAGTAGTGGGGATTTTTGAGGTTACTGGCAGGAAATAAAGAGATAGATGAGAAGGGAAGCAGGAGGGATCTAAGGAATTAAAGGTGTTAGTCTCCAGGTTTATGAAAAAAATTACAAGCAGTCTAATGTTTGGGCCTCCAGAGGAAGAGCAGTGGCTTGAAAAGTCGGGTGACCTGCAAACTTAGTCCTATACTAAGTACTGAGTTCCTCCTCCTCAGGGGCTTTTTTTCTTCCCCTTCTAGTTTTTAATTAAAAAAAAAATTAAGTCTGGTAACCCGCATTTAAATACAGATTTAATTCAGAGCACACTGGACAAAACATGTTATTTCCCTGGATTTTGACTTCCTCGTCTACTAAATTTTTCTTCCGTTGGTTTGGTGAGCAGGAAAAGGGAGATGTGCTTTTTGTTCTTATCTGCCACCAGATCACCCATTCGTGTTTTGTTTTGTTTTGAATGTTTTTATTTCAAGACTTTGTTTTACCAAGTCATTCATAATACAATTGTTTGGGGCCTTGAGTGTTCCAACACCAACCCCACCATCAGTCTGACTTTCCCTCCACCAGTGTCCCCTGTTTCCCGCCACCCCAGCCTGCCCTTGCAGGCACCAACAATTTACTTCATTGTTACAACACAAAGGCAGATGGAATTATCAAAACTTAGATCAATAAGAGTCAATATACGATAATTGTTACATCTCATAAGGATGTCACTAGTCATTGTCTGAGGATCTGCTGTGTTGTTAATGCTAGCTGAGCCTTCTATGTTAATTGTTTAAGCTTGTGGAGGTTGGTGGGCTTCTATGCAACTTCCCAATCAGATTTGCTGTGAGCCTCCTGATCTGACAGTTTTGTGAAATTAGGAGTTGTACACGGCTTCACGGTCCGGGAATTGTAGATCTGGAACAATTTGGTGGCTCAGCAGTTTGATTAGGTTCAGTTGTGGAGCTGGGCCATTTCTGTGTCAGATGGTGTGGAATGTGGCTGCAGGCTGCTGGGGAATCCGCACACCCCACATTCTGAGATGGCTCCAGAGTCCTCAGCCTGGACCAGTCTACCTGGGAAGATTTTGCAGCATCATATTCTTTTGGAGATGTGGCATTGGGCCTTTTGTCTGCCCGTAAGATGGTGTCACTTTATTTATTCTTGCTTTTACTTTAATTTCTGGGGCTCTGTCCCAGGGGCCTCCAGTCCACGTAGAAGATAGAACAGGAGCACCCCTGGGCTGTCTCCTTTCAGTGCATCTTTAGGCTTTTTGAGCTCCTGATTTAGAAGCATGTTTAATCTTAGCCCTCTGTAACACTAAGCAATATTAACATGCAGTGAATACTGTTAGTCTGAGAGCATCACATTTCTATTATCTTTTTTTTTTCCTGGTTTTTTTTTTTTTTTGCGCCACACCCAATGGTTTTCAGGGTTTACTTCTGTCTCTGTACTCAGGAATTAGTCTGGACAGCGCTCGGGGGGACCATTATGGCATGCTGGGGATCAAACCCAGATCGGCTGCATGCAAAGCAAGCAGTACCCGACCCTCTGTACTCTGCTCCAGCCTAAGATTTATATTAAGTCATCTAGACCTCACAACAGCTACATTTTTCAAATGGGGAAACTGAAGCTCAGAGAGGTTAATTTGTCCAAGTTACCAGAAATTTGCCAGAACCAGGCTTCAAATTATAAGGGATTCCTGTCAGTTATTATATTGTATCTATGTGTTTTGTGTGGAGGCCAAAGATGTGGCTCAGTGGTAGAATACTTGCTTGTGTCAGAATTCTATTCTCAGTACAAACCTAGACCCCCAGCACAACCAGAAGCGATAGCCAATCCAGGCACTACCAGTTGTGAACCAAAAACCAAACATGTATTTATGTGTGTTGTTCTAATTTTTCTTGCACATTATAATATCAAGGAAGAAAATAATTCCGTTTTAATTATCTTTGAATTTTCAGGGCCCAGAATGCATTCAGTATCTTCAACAAGAATACCTGCCTTCTTTGCAGGTAGCACCAGAGATAATTCAGGTAAGAAGTGGTAGCATATTTTCTTTTCTTCTTTTTCTGTGTTAACTAAGGATATAGTTTCAAGGGGTGGAGCACGTGCTTTGCAGGCTGGATGCCCCAAGCTGGTTCCATAGTACTATCACTCCAGTAACTAGTAAAGAATACTATAGCTATGTGGAGATAACTGCAGTCTAGTCGGGCTGTGTTCCAAATGTCTTGATTCACACCTCTCCCTCTGTCTCCCAAGTCATGCTGGTGTCGCCTTATTGGCCTCTTGTACTGCCAGGCTGGTGCAGCACTGCATTGCTGGGCCTGAGTCCCAAACCATCAGGCTCATACAGCTAGACCAAGTGTTGGTTGCAGTGGCACCCTCAGCCCTGTCCAGGCCCTTCTCTGAACACAGCTCAAGCAGCTCCCTGAAGAGAGATTTTTTTTCCTCCTACCCTTCCTTTTGCCGCTATTCTGAGATTGCAAGCCACTTGGTACAGTGCTTGCACACTCGGCCTCTGTGCTCGCCAGGAACTACACAGTTGTTGTTGAGGTGTTTGGAAACCCAAGTGAGGTTGCTTTCTTGTGCTCACACATGCTTGAGGGCCCACCTGGCTGCAGTATGCTCACATCAGGCTGTGCACAGGAGATCTGCATGTTGTTGGGTGCTGGGAGGGTCCCAGGGACAGGGCAGCTGCCAGGACCATGCTCGGTACATATGGTGACACCATCGAACTCATGTAAAGCAGGTGCTTTTTGCCACTTAGCCATGCCCCAGAGCCGCCATTTGATTTTGTGTTAAATTCCTTCAGATTGCTAAACTAAAGCAAAATGACGTGTTTCTACGTAGTAATTTTATGATAAAAGATAAGGATCATGTGTCCTCTGATGAAATTTTTGCAAAGTTACATTGAAGAGATTGTCGTCTTCTGGTGTAACTGCTCGGCTGCCCGCTTGACGGGGGAGAGCAGCAGTCACACTGTAACGTTGCCCTGGTGTCCTGCTCTCCCGTCCGGGTGAGTAGGTGTTGTCCAGGAGTGCCCTGGCCTCAAAGTAAAAGCCACCTCTCTGACAGCTGTTACATTTGAAAATGCCGGTAACTATTTTGGTGAAACAACCTTTGATGAGTGAAAGGGAGATGAAAACGTGTTACACAGTTGCGTGATATCAAGAATGAACTTTATTGGATCGATTATGATTTTGTCAAGCATGATTTCCCAAATACAGCCTGCTCTGTTGTGCTGATCACTTGTCATGGATGTGGTGGGCCTTGAATGAAACATTCCGCAGCCGGTGACTATAAACATAACACAGATATTACTTTCTGCTTAATAACGGAAATCTTGCTGAGGAGGTGGCTCGGCAGCAAAAGCACATTCCTTGGATATAAGTGACCTGGCTTCTTTCCCTAGCACTCGCACACACAAGGGGTTTAGCAAATGAGCTCCTGTTGCTAGAAAAATAGTGCAGCCGGTGGGGAACTTGTCTTAACATGCATCTGACCCAGGTTCAGTCAATAGCACTACATTTGGTCCCTTGAGCCCCTCCAGGAGTGATTCCTGGAGTAACCCTGAGCCCTGTAGGGTTGAAGCCAATTCCTCTGTCACCCTGACAAACAAGGAAAATCCTACCTCTCACACTACATTGCTGAGCTAAGCATTAAATCACCCACCCCATTTGGCTGAATATCACTGGGAGTGGCCTTCACACCCCCTGATCATTGTTTGTAAACAAATACACACACACACACACACACACACACACACACACACACAGAGTAGATCCTGTTCATGCTATGACATGCATGAACTTTGAGTTTTGGGTTTGTTTGGGTTTTTGGGGGGGGGGTCACACTTGGTGATGCACAGGGGTTACTCCTGGGTTTGCACTCAGGAATTACCCCTGGCGGTGCTCAGGGGACCATATGGGATGCTGGGAATCGAACCCAGATCAGCCGCGTGCAAGGCAAATGCCTTACCCGCTGTGCTATTCCTCCAGCCCCAGAGAATGTTATTTTAAACAAAATAAGCCAATCACCAAAAATTGATTACTGCATGGTTCTACTTTTATGAATCATCTGAGATAGACTTAGAAACCAAAGGTAAAGTAATGGGTGTCCAAGGGACAGAAATAGGGGAGTTTAGTGTATACAGAGGTTCAGTTTTGCAAGATAAAAATGTTCTCAGGACTGGATATTGCTCAAGAGGTTACTAACATGCTTAGCATACAGGAGACATGAGTTCGATTCTTAGCTTTACATGGTCCCATCACTGCCAGGTGTGTCCAAAAACAAAAGAAGTTCTGGAGATATGTTGCACAACAGTATGCATATAGTAAACACTATATAAAAATAGTTAAGATGGCCACTTTTAGGCCAGAGAAACAACTCAGTGGTGTGAGAAAATGCCTTACATGTGGGAGACCTCCATTCAGTCCCTGCCTCCTTGATCCCCCAAGCACTGAGCCAGGAATAGCCCTGAACGTTGCTGGGTACAGCACAAAAAGCAAAAAAGAATTCACTTTCAGTTTTTAATCATAATCTTCAAAGAATACTGTGTATTTGAATTACAGAGAAATTTTGTTGGGGGGGGGAGTGGAGATTTGGGCCACTTTTGGCAGTGCTCTGGGGATACCCCCAGATCTGTACTCAAGGCTTATTCCCAGTGGGAATTGGGAAACCATGTGATGCCCGGGATCAAACCAGGGTCATTTGTATGCACAGCAAGCACCTTAACCCTGTACTATCTACTTGGCCCAGAATTGATGGATTTAATATATATTGATTTCTTCTCTCTTTCCCTTCCATGTCCCCTCATACCTAACCCATCCCCTACAGGAGTTCTGTCAAGCACTTCAGCAGCCTGATGCTAAAGTTTTTAAAAATTACTTAAAGGTAGGTCTTTGAAAAACTTACTTAGCTTCATAAAGTTAGGTGATGTTTCAGAGACAAGAGATAATTGATATTATATTACAGGATACTGCATCTGATTTCATTTTGACCGGTATTAGTTATGTAGTAAACCTGGTTCTAAAAGTCTGCAGTTACAGGTCAAGGCTATTGCTCAGTGGTAGAGCATTTCCTTCGCATTTGTGAAGCTTTGGATATGATCCTTAGCACCAAAAAAAAAAAAAAAGAAACCCACAAATTAAAAAAAACCCACAAACCTACAGTTAAAATATTATACTGTGTTTAATATTTTAAAACATTTGCTCATAATAGGTTATAAGGAACTAAAAACAGAAACAGAAGTACAAGTTAATGGTTGTATCTTATTTTGAAACATTTAAATTATTTCAAATGGACAAAAAAAAGAGTTCCCTGATTTGACTTCAAGGCTCTTTTATATTCATAAAAACACAGAATTAAAAAAACACACACACACACACAAAACATCCAATTTTGCAAGAAGTAGCAAGTAGGTTCATATTAACAGTGAAATAGTGAGGCAGGCCGTCTTGCTCAAACCTAGTCAGCTAGCCATAAAGGTAAAGGCCCTCCCGTTGATCGTCGATTTGCTCGAGCGGGCCCAGTAACGTCTCCATTGGAGACTTTGTCGTTACTGTGTCTGGCATATCGAATACTCTCGGTAGCTTGCCGGGCTCTCCGAGAGGGGCAGAGGAATCGAACTCGAGTCGGCCATGTTGGCCGCTTGTAAGGCGAACGCCCTACCGCTGCGCTATCGCTCCACTATGCTAACAGTTGCAAATACCAAGCATAAGTGATTTTCCCAGCCTCCTGATCTGAGAACGAAATTACAGTGTGTCAGAATAAAAAACAGTTCTTTTTATTGATTGTCTTCATGTGAGGGTAAAGCTTGGTGCTGATTTTTTGGCAGTAGGTAAGACAGTGGATTTGGTCTAACCCATTCAGTGAAATTCTTGTTAACCTTAGGATACTTTGCTGGGTGCTACCCTTTGTTTCCGATTCTGACATCTTTGTCCGTTTCCCCCCAGTAGTTGTTTTTCAGCTTGAACTGCCAAAGTTTGTTGAGTGTAATTGGGGATCCTCCCACTCTTGTTTCCTGTAAAAGCAAAGTGCTTAGGGAGATAGCCTCTGTTTAATAAATGATCAGATTTGTGGACAAGAGGATTCAGAAAACGATTGAAATAACTAACAGCAGATCTATCAGGATTGTGTTCCAAGTTTATTGATTAATCCAGACAGCATCTATAAAATGTCTTCCTTCCACACCCAGCTTCTCTCCGGCCATAGTCTTTAGTTGGAAAAAACTGTTTCTTTTCTTTTTTTTTTTTTTTGCCTGCTTGCTACCTTAGGTATTGCTGATATTTCCTCCTCTCATCACTTCCTTTCTGCCCATACTGCTGCTCCTCTTGTGTAAGCATGTTATTCTGATCTTACTTCCTTATTCTAGCCAAGCTGATATTTGAAAACATTGAACCGTCCTCTGAAAATCACTCTCCTTCCTTATAGTCTCCATAAGCCTATATAAGACTTAAAAAAGTTCCCTATTCTTAGTTTGGTGTATTGGGACTTTTCCTCAGCCCCATATCCCCATCTCAGACTCCCTTTCTGGTTTCTCTTACAGGAACAGTTTTTGCTATTCGTTCTCCCCCCCCCCCGGCTTTTTGGGTCACACCCGGTGATGCACAGGGGTTTCCTGGCGGTGCTTGGGGGACCATGTGGGATGCTGGGAATCGAACCTGGGTTGGCCGTGTACAAGGCAAGCGCCCTACCCGCTGTGCTATTGCTCCAGCCCAGTTTTTTTGCTATTCTTGCTGATGCTCCAACGTCCTACCTCACTAGCAAATACCCTCCTTTATGAATCCTCCCTGTTTCTCTAGGCTTACCTCAAGCATGGCCTCCTTGTAAAAGGCTTTCTTTTACCTATATATAGTGAGCATTCTTTTCTCTCCACTAAGAGTATCTTTATCAGATAAGAGGAACAATGGTGCATGTGTCCTCTTCATCCTTAGAGAGCTGACTTCTTAGTTTTGGTGGCACACCTGGTTGGGGGGGGGGGGCTCTTCCTGACTTGGAATCTTGTGGTGCCAGGTTTAAACCCAATTTAATTTAATTCCACATGCAAAACCTGCACTCCAGCCCTTTATACTATCTCCCTACCCTTTACCTGTGTTCACTTACCATGTATCTAACTATGAAAACAAATATGTAGTGCTGGGTCACTGCCTCACAAAACTGGTACTTGTTCAGTCTCAGATGTCGAATTTGTTTAGGGGGAGAGTGGTTTTGTTTTGGGGGGACCATACACAGTCCCTTGTTCAGGGAACCAAATGTTGCTGGGGCTCGACCTGGGGTTCTCAATGCCACGCATGCATTTCGTCCTTTTGAGCTGTCTTGGCCCACGGGAGAGGGAGAGGGGGAGAGGAAAAAAATCTTTAAGGAATTAAAACTGCTGGGTTTATTTTTATTTATGGCACTGACTACTTGGTTTTCTCCATCATCTTATCATTTCTCCACATTAATTTTGACAGTACTACTAATCAGTGGGGCTGGAGTGATAGCATAGCGTGTAGGGCATTTGCCTTGTGCGGCCAGCCCAGCAGAGCCAGGTTTGATTCCTCCGCCCCTCTCGGAGAGCCTGGCAAGCTACCGAGAGTATCTTGCCTGCACGGCAAAGCCTGGCAAGCTACCTGTGATGTATTCGATATGCCAAACGCAGTAACAATGAGTCTCACAATGGAGACGTTACTGGGCCCGCTCGAGCAAATCGCTGAACAACAGAGGACAGTGACTAATCAGTGAAAAGGCACATTTCTTCGTCTGACCATTTAAATCTCAGAGCTTTAGAGATAATGCTATATTTTCATTAGTTTCCTAAATTATGTCAACATAAATTGACTCTAGACTTCCTCAAAGCGTCTAGAAGTTTCTTAAGCTAGTTTGGATGTGATGAAGTTCTGAAATGTTTTAAATAGCCTTTATATCGTATGAAAGGATAAGCTCTCAGTGACTTGGAGCCATTCTTCAGGTGAAAGGTAGCATCTTTTGACATCAGTACTAATTTGTACTTTATTTACAGGTATTCTTCCAGAGAGCAAAGCCCTAAGAACTGGATCTCCTGTGCCTACTTCATGATGAGGAATTCCATTTAATAATTTATAAGGAAGCAATTTTTGTGTGCCATTCACACTGGTCTTTTTAACATTGCTCTGAGCTTATTGCAGTATATGTATTGGGAATTTTCTGTAAAATGGGTGTGATTTTTCCCAAAATACAGGTATGTGACAACAGGAGAAGTTGCTTGCATGCCAGTTCAAACTGTTCTATATAAAAGTGCTGCTGAAAGATACAGCAGAATTATCCTAGTACCTTTTTTTGTTCTTACTTGAAACTTTAAGCCCTTTATAAAGATCACAGCAGGAAAACAGTGTACTTTTTAAAAAATTGCTGAATATAAAATGTTTGAAGATTTTCATTTTCTTGGATGTATGTAAACCCGCAAAGTGCAGGGGAAATACCCAATCAAAACTTAATTTTTTTTTTGTAGATAGCAATTACATTCTTTACACTGTTTTAATGCCAATGTGTATTCTACAAAAGAGGTGGTTTCATAAATTAACTGATTTCAGAGTAGGCCCTGGTGTTATTACATTTTTTATAAAAAAAAAAATTAAATAAATTTTACGTAGTGAAATCTACCAAGTCTCTTTTGGTATTATTACACACACTTGAGCCCTATTTCCTCATCTTTTTTCTCCCTATCTGTTCAAAGGCTCACACATTGAAGGTTATGATGGTTTATTAATTATGCTCCTGAAAGGTTATATGCCTCTTAGCTCTGCTAGATTGAATCTTGGCACTGGAGCCCAGAGATAGCTTTAGCCAGCTGAGCACATACTCTGTATGTAGTGGGCCTGGGTTCAACCCCAGGCAATCCAGGGTCCCCCAAGCACCTCTCAGTGAACCTCAGGATCACCAGGTATGGCTTCTCAATCAGCTCCCTGCCCCCCCCACCAAAAAAAAATTAAAAAGCATGGGGAAAAGCCTGTGAGAATGTTGATTGAATTTTAAAACCAAATTAAATCCCAATTTTCCTTTTATTAGGTTTACTTAAAGCACATTATACCCATTTATGATGCTTATAAGCAGTAACTGCTCATTTAATACTAGAAATATCTTCCCTTGTCTCCTTCCTTTTAACTTTAAAGTCTAAAAGCCCAAATATGATTTGGTAAGAGAGCTTACATAATCATCAGATACTATGCCAAAAATTGTTATTTTTGTGTGTGTGTGCTGGTATTACAGGGTATAACTGTTACGCAGTGGGGGGATAAAGTTAAACACAAAGGTGCATACGTAGTGCCTGCACACAAAAGCTTAGTAACAGCTTTTACTACTGTATTATACTGTATTATTTCCATATACATAAGGTTACACCACCTCCTTTGCCCCTGGCTACTGAGGGGCACACCTAGCATTGTTCAGGGGCTACTTCCAGCAAGGTACTCGGGTTGGTCCGAGTCACTCTGGGAGACCATGTGCTGGGAATCAAGTCCGTGGTTCCTACATGCAAAGAATTTTTTCCAGCCCTTCAAACTACCACCCTGGCCTGCCCTCTGGTTCTAAAGCCCTTCATAAGATTTACATATATTCAGAGCTGAGAAATCAGTACATGGAATGAGAACCATAACATCATATTTAACATTATGAAATCATGTCTAACAATGCCTCTCAATTCTCTGAAGTTCCCAGAGTACCATTTTGGAAATATCCCAGCAATTTGGGTAAGTCAGATTTGTCTTATTTTTTGTGTACTTCATTTCCAAAAGCAAGCTCCCTAAGAATCGCCTCCAGGATGACTCACTTGTTAGCAAATGAACCATCTGTTGTATCACCAGGGTCTTGGGATGTCTGGTCCAGTTCTGTTCTGAGATTAAATCTGGAAAGAATCGTTAACAGTTTTTAAAAGCAGTCTGACCTTTAAAATACACTGTGGTGTTTGTAGTATTCATCACTATTGCTTGTAAAAGTGTGAATGGGGGGCCTTGGGCTCAGTTAATCACAATTTCTCCCATACAACTTTGAGCTGTGAAGCTGAGTGTCCTAAGGGATTATGACAAGTCCTTATAATACTCCCTCCTTATAACAGGGGAGAACTGAACTGCAAACAGTGAACAGAACTGTTAATGACTCCATTTCAACTTTCTGATAAAACCTTGTGACAAGCATTGAGTGGGGGCTTTTGTTAGCTTCCTTGTGCATAGCAGTTAACATGCTTAAGGAAGCTGAAAAAAAACAAGCTTCAACCTTTGTTTAAATTTAGTATTTCACAAGGAGCATCTCGGTAACTGCAACCTGCAAAAGCCTCTGTCCTCGGCCACCCTGTCATGGTTTCCCTTTTCGTTGCTGGTTTTGGAGTTGTTCCATAGGGAAGGGCACTCCCCTCCCGCCCACCCTAGCCCCCATCCCCCACCTCGAGAGATAGCAGTAGTGTGGTTTTTTTGCTCTGGAGAAAAGCTTTGGTGCTGTCATGGGCAGAAGGGAACTCCTCCAGGAAACAACCGTTTGGAGATGGCTAGATTACTGGAGAAAAAGGCCACTTTTCAAAAATACTCCTAAAAGAGGAAGTTAAGTGAATTTCATATAGAAATTTACCAAGAATTTTCAAGAGATAAAATGCCATGCCCCTGCGGTGACCGTGGCCTTTAGGATAGATCAAAACCAACGGTTGCAGACTTAGGTTAGTGGGCGCTCTGCAAGCCCCTCACTGTTGAGCCGCCCCGCTCCCAGGCTGACCGGCAGGTCTGCATTCAGTTCAAAGTCCCTTTTCCCACCAGCTGTCCCTGCACTCCGCCTGTGGCTCGCTGACACCCGGGCGGTACTCACAGTTGTAAGACATTAATTACTGGGCGGAGAAACAGTACAACAGTACAGCGGGAAGGGCGCTGGCCTTGCACGCTGCCCACCTGGGGTCGGTCCCCGGGACCCCCACCCTCACCCGGCACGGGTGCCAGAGTCCACCAGGAGCTATTCCTGAGTGCAGAGGCAGGACCGGCTGTGTGGCCTCCCTGCCACCCCCACCCTCCCCAAAGAACCGAAATCCCCGTGCTCACTGCGCAGAGCTTCCCGCCTTCGACCTCACGCGAGGGGATGGGCAGGAGCCGTGACCCTCGGCAGCAGCAGATCGGGACCTGCCGGGGCTCAGGCCCCAGCCGCTAGCCGCCGAGGCCCCGGCCCGAGCGGCGGCGAGTGCGCACGCGCAGCCGCGCGCGAGCGAGAGGACCGCCGGTCACGTGGCCCCAGCCGGGGCTGGAGAAGCCGGAAGTGTCCCGAGGCTCCCGGAGGCCGCGGGAGCCGCTGGCGGTGGCGCGGCGGAGCTCGGGCGCGGTGAGCGAGCGGGCGGCCGCGGGGCCGGGAGCCGCGCGGGCGGCGGGCGGCGGGGGAGGCGCGGGCGCTGCCGCGAGCGCGGGCCGCGGGGGGCGCCGGGCGGCTGCTGAGTCAGAGCGGGGGGTGGGGGGGGGCGGGGCGGGCCCCGAGGCCGACCCTCCGGGCCCCCGACGGCGGCTCGCGGGCGGGCGGGCGTGCTGGCGGGCGGCGGCCTTGCGCCCCGGGGCGCCTCCATCCTCCCGGCCTCGCAGGTGGCCGCCCTCGGCGCCGGCGATACGCGGCGGACGGTTAACCGTGTGTGTGGGGGGCGGGGGGTGGCTCGGCGGCCGACCCGCTGGGCGTCTCACCGGAAGCGCCGCGCTCCGGCGTTTTTCCAGGGGCCCGGGACGGCGCCGCGCCCCGAGCGTGCCCCGTCAGCACAGCCAGGGCCAGGGGGGCTTCCCGAAGAGCCGGCCGAGCGTCTCCCCCACCCCCACCCCCCACCCCGCGAGCCCTGGCGGCCGCGGGCTGCGCCTGCCCCGCGTGGGACGACCTGGAAGGACGCGCGCGTGCGGCACGGCCGCTGCTCACGCAACTTGTTGAGCCGCCTGCACCCTGGACGGCTCCGCACTCTTGGGGTGGGGGCGCGTCTGTGCCCGAACAGCCCCTCCGGGAGCTGCTGAGTCACGTTTGGGCCCCGGCGGGTCCCCGGGAAACGGGCACCGACACGGGCACCGACAGGCCCCGCGCGCGGAGAGCCCCCTCTGGCCGCATAGCCTAGAGGATGCTCGCGCTAAGCGGGTGGGACCCCCCTCGCCGCCGCGGGTCCGGTCGGATCGGGAAGGGTCGGCTCTACCCCCGTTGGTTCGCTGCAGGGCAGCGCGCTCTCTTCTGCTGGCTTACTACCTCCCTGCTGGAGACAGAGGTGTATTTCTTTCTTTGCGGCTCTTTCCCCCTAGGTGTGACGAGGTGTTGTGCTTTTGGTTTTGGTTTTGGTTGTTGCACATTGCGCACAAAGTGCTGTCTCGGTGGTTTAAACTCGATTGGTTGGTAAAACTGTAAGTTCCGTCTTGAATGATCGAAAATTTTGGTGACATTTTAGGCCGATGGCCGTTCTTTATTTGTTCCCAGTCCTAATTTGGATATTGGCAGCCGTTCATGACCGACTGTTGTAGTGTGTTCGGGTTTAGCATTGACAGGTCCTCCCCGGGTGGGACCAGTGCTTTTGCTATATTGCATTGATTGCAACTCCGACATGAAATTCAAATTTTTTTTACTATACACCCAGGTAACCTTCCAGTGTTAAAGACCAAGGGTAGGGTTTTTTTGTCGTTGTTGTTGTTGTTGTTGTTGTTTAAAGAGAGTACCCTTTTGGTTTTGAGGTTACAGGTTTTCAAACCCAAGGACCTCATGCAAGAGGAACACTCTATCTCTGAGCTAGATCCCTGGTTCCTGGGCTTTTTTTTTTTTTTAGGGCAGTTCACAGCAAAATTGAGCAAAAGATATGAAGGCTTTCCACATAACCTCTTTCCTGCCTGTTGCCCTACCCTGGCAGGAAACAAAGTCCTTTTCCTCGGTTTTTGTTGTATTTTCCATATTTCTTTTTAAAACACTTTATAATTTCTCTTTGGTTTAACTTTCAAGACATTTGAAAGAAAGAGATGACCACTATTGTCAGTGACATTTACTAAATTAGAAGGAAGATAGATTTCTCTTTTTACCTGTGACAAAGGAATTCATTTGAGTATGAGTCATATTAGTGGTTTATTAGAGTGATATTAGTGATATTAGAGGTTTTAGCAAAGTGTACACAAGCATTTAGCCTTTAATATAGCTAGAAACTTAGATACTAACATTGAACTTTGTATATTTCAATTTAGTTACTGTTAATAAGATCTAACTTGAAATTGAGTAGATGGCATTCTGTTTATTAAATGATTCCTTATGTCAAACATGCACGTTTCCCCTTTTCTCTTAGTATACCGAGAATCGCCTGATCAAGCCGAGATGCAGAGCACTTCCAATCATCTGTGGCTTTTATCTGATATTTTGGGTCAAGGAGCTACTGCAAATGTCTTTCGTGGAAGACATAAGGTTGGTATAGAGAAAACCAAGGTTTTTGGTTTTTTTGTTTCACTCTGTTTTCACTGTATTTTTTGTTTTGCCCTTCCAAGATATACACTTGTACTCTGATGTGAGATTTGATGATTTTGCCTAAAGAACATACCTGTATTGTGGTTGCCGTACATGTCAGAGTCAATCGGTCATTATTATCCCTTCAATGAGGGCAGTGTGGAGAAAAAACAGCAGGTTGGCTAAAAAAAATGGCTGGGGAACTTAGGGGTGAACCTTTGTCATCTTTCCTCAATCTCTGCCGCCCAGGCAGTGACAGAATGTTCACTGTGGCAGGGTTGGAGTAAGCAAATTGAAGTGTACCCGAGAGGATAATTCTAAAACACTTCCCCAAGCTTCTTGCCTCAGTAAGAGCATCCTTCAAGACGTGGGAGGAGAAGGAAATTTATCAAGAGTCCAGGTCGAAAATGCTGTCTTTATATATTCTGGCAGAAGGGCCTCTGAATTTGTTAGAAGTGAGAACAGAATAAAAGAACTAATTCTGGAGGTTGAAGAACCAGAAAGATAATATATCAGAGTTTATAGCGGGACAGAATTAAGAATCATTAAAATAAGTTGAAATAAAATGTCAAAAGGTGTTACCCAAAAGATAGCACAGTGGATAGGGTGTTTGCCCTGTGTGCGCCCAACCTGGGTCCTAGCCCCAGCATCCCCCAAGAGTCCCCCAAGCACCGCCAGGAGTAACCCCAGAGCATCGTCAAGTGTGAACCAAAAGCCAAACCAAACAAAATATTAAGGGGTTTCTGTCCTGGGAAAGAAGATAAAATAATGGAGTAAAAAACATAATGCATATAATCACGTTTTTTGTTTGAGGCTTCCCCAGTAGTGCTAGGGACCTCGAAGGCTGCATCAGTGGCACTTTGGAGCCCATTCATGATTCTTGGAGATCAAGCCGCCCGCCCTGTATATGCGATGCGTGCACTTCAACCCTTTGAGCTACCTCTGTGACTCATGATTATTAATTTTTCAACTCTGTAAATTTTTTTAGAGCCAAATATGTTTGCAGCCTCCTAACATTCTTTTCAAGCACAGGAAGCATTTTAGTATTGAGGAGTTCCTTCATCTATTCTTGTAGCCTTGAGGTTAGTAGTCAGTTTTGTCAGTGACATTGTGATAAGTATTCAGAGGGCTGTTTCCTCCGGGGAGAGTTTATGACTGTGAACAGCTTCTGTGGTTTATAGAGAATGAATCAGTGTCATATGCACAGCTCTTGGTTTTTTTTTTCCGTCTGATTCCAGAATAGTTTCCATCTTTGATCAAAGCTCATTATGGTTTCTGGGTCCTTCATCCAGTTGATTGTGAATCTTGGGCATTCTTGTCCTAGGAATTGTTTTGGTTTGTGGTTTGTGCCAAGAGGGATTTAAAAAAAGGTGACAGCACAGGATTTAGTGATGAAACCACATCTGACCTTCTGTCTTCCAAATTAATTGAGCAAATGTTGGAATCCTTTTAGATGTCAGACGCTGCAGTGGGCCTAGCCCACCAAGAGTTTTAGGTTTAGTATAGAAATACCATTCAGGGGGCTGGAGCGATAGCATAGCGGGGAGGGTGTTTGCCTTGCACGCGGCCGACTGGATTTGATTCCCAGCATCCCATATGGTCCCCCGAGCACCGCCAGGAGTAATTTCTGAGTGCAGAGCCAGGAGTAACCCCTGTGCATCGCCGAGTGTGACCCAAAAAGAAAAAAAAAAAAGAAAAATATCATTCAGGAGGACCATAAATTACAAATGGCTAGAGCAGCAAGTACATGGTTGTGATGGAGATTGGATGAGGAATATTTAAAATGCCTGGCACTAGTAAATATTCCACGTATTTTTGTCCTCTAGATACTCAGAATTCTTTGTGTAAGTGCTTACACAGAGTAAGGACTCTGTTTACTTTTACTTCCTCCCCTTCCTTTCCCTTCATTGTTGTTGTGAAGATGTGGATTGAGTTCGTGGCAGACCATGGTGCTTGCTGGAGGTGTCACATCAGGTTGGGGTGCTTGCATATTCTGTCCCATTACACTCTCGGGTTTGCTGTCTTTGAGTTGCTCCTGGTGATTCAAAGGGGACCATCTGGGATGCCGGGAATTGAACCTGGAATGACCACATGTAAAGCAAGAGCCCTAACCTTTGTACTATCACTCTGGCCCCAGTGGCCCAAATTTTTAAAATAGAAAAAGAAAGAATTGCTAAGACCCAGTTTAGTATTGAGAAAAAGTATTTTTTCTGTGATATCAATTTCAGTGGTGTAGGACTGTGCACAAGAAATCCCACTTTCCCTTAATAATCTGTGTGAGAATTTTCGATAGTGGAAAGCTAAAACCCTTTCGTGTTACTGTTTGGAATAATCAGGTCCCCAAGTTTACTATTTGTTATTCAGAGGGTATAACTTCTCAAGTCTGTCTCTTTCATTCAGTTGCTTTTCGTTACTAATGTGAGTGGCTGGGTAGTTGTGTGCATGAGAACTGAGGTGAAGTTAAGGGAAGAGAACTGTGGCAGGGTGTGTTGCTCTGCCAGCTGTATAGAAATATGTGAACGTAGATCTGGAAGTGTTATTCGTATGTGCTTTGACTTTGACACGGTGAGTGATGAGTCACTGCAGCTAATAAAGGGAAAATAGTTCATCCTTACGTATCTTCAGGTACGATGTTTAGTAATACAATTTTTTAAAATACGGCAGAGATCACAGCATATGTGACAAAATTATTATTTCCCCTGCTTCCCTCTGTTAAGATTCTCATCCTTT